ACTTTTTTCATTTCTTCCACGTGTGCAAATAAAACTGCCTTCCGGGTCACTAGGAAACAGTTAACCGAGCAGTTATGCTGAAAGAGTGAAAAGAATGGGGTAACAGAACAGGGGTGAACTCGATCGTGAGTAATGTATCATGATGCGAAAGGTTGATCGAAAGGGCAAGGAGGACGCGCTTCGTCGCGATTTTAACCAATTTTTCCAGGGAAAATCATAGCCTTAGTCTTCGTTTCTCTCGTCAGTTTTATGCAATGATTGTCCGGCGGATACACTTGTACATGTAATTGCTTGAGAAAGAAAGGCGAAAGAGTGTAACGAACGTGATCGTAGGTGAAACAACAAACTGATTGTATCGGATGAAACCGATCGTTAATCGATCGATCGTAGTTGAGCGGATTGTTGAATTAATTGGACAAGGCACTTCGAGGTATTATTATATAATAGATCTGTCGAAAGTGTATCCGCCTAGTTTGCACAAAACACTGCATGAACCATAATCGAACTTATATTTGCGGCATTCGAAGAATGGCATTCAACGATAAAACTGTACATACGCACGTTTACTATTATCTATTTACTATTACGAGAAATCTTATTCCTAAGACCTTCGACTATACGACTTTATCGAAACGATGAGAGTAACAACAACAGGAGCAAACAGCAACAACAACAACAAAAAAGACAACAAAAAAGCGAACTGCATTGCATACATTGTCTAGCGCCATTGTGAACTTCTATCTCTTCTTACGGGATAAGCATAATTATATTTGTTTATATATCTATACATATACATGACAACGTACGTATAGAAACATTATGACTATTATTATTATTATTATTACTACTATTATTCTTATTATTACGAATTACGATGATTATCATTATTATGAAATATGGCCACTATCTCTATTATTATGATTATTATCAGTAAACGAGGAAAAAAAAAAGAAGAAGAAGTGAAAAACGATGAAGGTACGACGGATAATTGCTAAAAATTAAATGAAAGATCTTACTTATACATAATTATAAATACGTCATGATGACATATTCATAACAATTAATTATTACGATAACATAATGACATTATTATTATTACTATTATAAATAACACCCTATTCCCATTTGTTGTGAATGTTTACGTTGTTTTATGATATTCAGAATATTCTAAAAATAAAGTCTATAATTTCCACGAATGTATCTACGTTTCATTTCGCCCTGTCTTGCCTTTCAGGAAACCTCTGTTCCAATAATAGTATATACGTTCTCAGTATAATCGTACAAATATAATTTTATTGACTACGTCATTTATCTTATGATTGTAATTAAATCTTGCAGAATGAGTGTAAAATATTCACGGTGATGATCAGACGATTCGTAAATTATCGTAACAAACTCCACTTTAACATTTAAATCTTCTATGGATTTAAATCCTTGCGAAAGAGTAGACGATAGAAGAAACACATTAAATACCTAAGTCTGACTTTAATGACTTGTCGGTCGTAAAATTTAAAAATATTCAAAAATTATTCAGATGCACAATTCGTTTATCCTCAGTGATTAAACAAAAGTGCATCAGTTGAGGTGAGATCGCGCGTAAATCTTGGGAAATGACTCGAAGAAAATCATTTGATCACCGTTATCGAAGCGTTTCGAAATTTCCGGAGATAATTCGCAATCGGAGCGGCGCGGCCTCGCGCACACGTTCATAGGCGAACAACTTCAAGCAAGTGAAACTGACGTAAGTGCGCGTGCACAGAATAAACGTAGCCACTTTCACGTTATTTTTTATGCGTTTCTGTACGCGCCGCTCGTATTAGGCCACGTCAAAATTAATTTCGTCGTTAGCCGTGGTGCGATATACACATTTTCGAATGATCGAATTTATCCCGGGGAAAAATGTGAAGAATGTATTGTAGCTGGCTACGTTGGTGCATCGAGGCCGTTTGACAAGGCAGATAGCACTCAGCTCAAGTACTATTTTTATTCCAGTTGTTTAACCTCAGTCGACACACTCGCTCGGAAATGTCATTCGAGGGGAAATACAACGCGAAAAGTCCCGGTGAGTTCACGAAACCGATCTTTTTCTGCTTTTCGATTCGTCCGTTCGTCGTTGCGCTCGCGATTTACATCGGACAACATACGTTCCATACGTATTTCTATGATTCTACGAAATCATTTGTTATCTATGAGAATTGACTCTGCGTTATCTATTCATATGTAACGCTCTTGCAATAAGTATATTCTTTAGAATAGTACCATACGCAGTATTACATAGCATTATCTTTGCGTTAGCTAACAAATGAAATTTCAGCCGTGAAGAGACTGATGAGAGAGGCTCAGGAGCTCTACGAAGCTACGGAAGAATATTGTGCATCTCCTTTAGAAGACAATCTTTTTGAATGGCATTTCACTGTGCAAGGACCACCATCCACAGACTTCGAAGGCGGTGTTTACCATGGCAGAATTTTATTACCACCAGAATACCCTATGAAACCACCAAACATAATATTGTTAACAGTAAGTTAATTTTAATACCAAATAACTGATTTTTCACCTATATATATCAGAAATGAAAGTATATCGGATATGGTTTCTTTTCAGCCCAATGGACGTTTTGAAACCAACAAAAAGATTTGCCTAAGCATTTCTGGTCATCATCCGGAAACATGGCAACCTTCGTGGAGTATCAGAACAGCTTTATTGGCTTTAATTGCTTTTATGCCAACACCAGGAAATGGGACAATTGGTTCTTTAGATTATAGTAAAGAAGAAAGGCAGAAGCTTGCAAAAAAGTAATCCACATGATTTCTTAATTTCAATATTATTAATGTAAGATTTGAATGCATTGATAATATGATAAAAATGTTTTATCACAGATCACTAAACTGGCAATGCGATACTTGCGGGAAAGTTGTTGATTTGTTGTCAAAGAATACAGTCAAAAAACCTATCACAGTAGAAGAGCAAACTATGTTAAACACAATAGCATTAAAGGTATTTTTTCATTTATTATCACATCAAATTCAATAATTTGTATTGTGTATTTTTTAAAATTGTGTTTTTAGGCTGACGATTCACCCACATCGTCTTATTTAGTCAATTCGGATACTGTATCGGAGAACCAACTGAGACAACGCGGTATCGAGCCGATTATTAATGAGACTCAAGATCGACAGCAATCTGATATCATAGTAAATCAACAAGTAGAAACGATGTCATCTTCAAACGATTTATTTTGGAGCATTCTGATCGCTTCCTTAGTATCAGCGATAATTCTACTTGTTTTACGACGGCTATTTCTTGTTTAAATTATTCTAAATGTAACAAAACGTTATGACTGTAAGTATGTTAACAAAACGAAGTAAATTTTATACACATTTTATGGAACATTTTTAAACTTAGAAGATGTCAAATTTATACACGCTTAGAAATAGTCAGAACTTCTCATAGAAATAATATGTGACAGAAATTGCATTGAAATATTCACTGTAGTATACATCTCTTTCTTTGTCCTTTTCTTATATTAAAAATTATAAAATTATAGAAACTAGTTATTTTTGCGTATAAACACGGCAAGAATTATATATTGTGTTTTTAGTTTGTTTTTTAATTAGTAGCATTTAGTTATCTTTTAGATGTCTTTTTAACTTTTTGATATACAATATATACTTGCAATGCATAATAAAAAGAGCTACAAATTGCATTTAACATACATACTTAGTTGATAATTTACACATATATATTTGTTTAGTTATGTGTAAATTAGATCAATGATACACAAATGTACTTTCATCAAAATCACACCGTATTTGTACAAAAAATTGAAAAAAAAAACACTTTTTAAATCAAATTTATTCCACAATAAAATCAACATCTTTTGTGAAAGTGAACTTTAATTGCACGTCTGTGAAATTATAATCGTGTATTTTTTTCTTCTTGTTATATAGATGTAGATAACTCATGTATTAGAATTGTATATAACTAATATAAATTTAACATAAGTTAAACTATTACGTTGTATTTCACGAAACTGTGCACATAAAAATCAAAAACAAATACACCAGTTATAAAAAAATACTTAACTGCAGTACAAATATAATACCAATTATTCTTTCTATCTTTCTCAATCCAAAAATGTACTCCATATTACAGAAATAATATATATGTATATTATTCACATAATATTAAACTAACGCATGATTAAACATTAATTTTAAATGTATGAATAATATATACCCATATGTACTTAATCTTTGGTGCACTGTACATTATGACTGTTTTAAGTTTCAAGCATCCGTTTAAATTTAGAATTTTTTAAATTATAATTATACAAAAATATTATGGGACCATACAAAACATGGTTTCATCATATTCCTGTGTAATAGTTAATTAAAGAGAAATTAAAAAGGGTACTCGGGTGCAAAGTACATCTGTCATTTTTTGTTGCATGTACATAAAAATATAATAAAGTAACTATTTATTAAAGCATATAAACATATTCATTTTAACATCTATCATAATACAATAATTTTTCTTTTAATTCATTTTCACATTCAATTTTATACTCGTTGGCCAGTTTTTATATGCTGAAGAATTCATATTTCGAATAGAAACACGAAAGAAAGTATTTCTTGTGACGTTATAATACTAGATTTGGAAATGATTCTTAATTCGTCATTGATGATAAATAAAATCTATGCAACTTATGCACTTCGTACTATGCTATACAAAATTCCATTTAAATAAAGAAAAATACTAATGATGCCGTTCTATAACGGTTTTATTACATATCTTTTTAATTATACCAATATTAATAATCGCATTTTAGTACGCAGAAACGATGCACAGTGTTAATTTTTAAATATCGCAAACTCACAATAAAGTGTGAACAGCTGTGCATGAAATATAAACGATATCTAATGCTAGGCGCAGATAAATATATTCTTAAAGCCAACAGTGATAAATTTTGTTTACAACTTCAAAACTCATACAATTATAAATTAGTCCTCCATATATGAAACATATATATAATGCTATTCAATACCTGGAGTCGAAAAATATCAATTAATCCTAGGACTAAATATAAAATAGCCGGTCAATTGATGTTATACAATCATAACTTATATAAAATAATCATTTCAATATTAGCCTTTTAATGAAAAGATTTAATACTGAAAATATTTTTGGTCCCTATTATGTTAAAGCACTTAAAATTCTTAAAATGCTTTTGATATGCACATTCGCTAAATAAATATTTGGCAAATAATAAGAAATAAACCTTCCGACAAAAATTTTATATAGCATAAAAACGAGAGAAGACAAGTTAAGTTTGAGTTTGATATTCTTTGCCAATATTCATTATATTAGATTAGAATCATCAAAATATTAACTTTACTTAACTCTCATTTAAATAATGTATTCATTTTATTAACATGGAAACAGATTGTAAGCGCTTTATAATCTTCCTTTTTTATCCTTTGAAGCACCTTTCCATTTTCTTCCATACTGAATAATATGTAGTTTATATAAGTATATATCAATTAACGTATATATTACTGCTAAACCACATACATTATGCTCAACTAATATCTCTGTGCGTTTGTCATGCAATTTAATATAAATCTTCACAAACTTTACTTCCTTTTGCTTTTTATATATGTATAATACGTATTCAAAACATTTAATTTCAATTTTTGGAGTTCAAGATAAATTATAAGAGATAGAACCTATAGAATGCATAAATAGCCATGGCACTGAATTATTAGTACACCGCATCTTTGTCATTTAACATTTTCATTATCATTAACGTTACTATTTGCCCTATTGCTGCATACATTTTGATTCGCTCATAATGCAAATTATCAGCAAACTTATGATCTTTAAAAATACGCAATCGAAAATTACAGCATATTAATAAACTGTTATATTCTCTTTATCTATTGTAAGGCAGCCTACCTCAGTTTGAAATTTATTTATTTATCGATAATCGATAATCTATCTAAAATTGTAACCTAATTATCTCGTAATAATTTAATTTCAGTAGAAACGTTTTTGTACATCCAAATATATATCAACACTAATATTATATCAGTATCTTATCCTTTCTCGTTCTCCCTTTCTTTCTCATTTTGAATTTTACGGAGATTTACAGAATTTCATTGTGACTAGATTTTATTCAGACTATATAGTAGCCTTTCTCGTATAAAATATGGCTACTTATAAGATATACTAAGCTTCAAAAGAAAATCTCTTCGGAAAAAGCTGTTCATGATTTCACTGGCAAAAAATATATTGCATTGATAGCACCTGATACATTTAAAAATTTTTTTCCCTATCTAAGTTAAATAACGAATAGCAAACTTTACAAACGTAGGAAAATTTATATTATTACAATGATGATATGTACTGTTTAACCATTTGAAGCAAAACTGGCCATTCATATATACGTATTTTCGTTATAATATTTGAATAAGAAATTCATCTTTTATACAAAATTTGGAACAAATAAAATAATCCTTTTCATGTCATGTTTATGCTTCAAAAGGTTACAGTAATATATGTGTACACTATGTGATAGTACGTGTATAAAAAAAAACGAGATCAATATCCTTTAATTATAGCAATCTAGTCTGATATAAAAAAGAAAAAGACATCTTTGGTTTAAAAATAAATAAGTAACATAAAAATATCAAAATTATATTAAAAAATTGAGTTTTTTTTGTTAAAAATGTAATATGAAAATTATTTATAGGAAGTTATTGTCCTGTGGAAGTCGAGTGAAATTAAAATAAAAATATCTGGATGTAAAACCAATATGGAGTAAAAAACTAAAAAATACACACTGTAAATATTTTTATGTTTTTTGGGGGGGGTCCAGGAGTCAAATGAAACGTTTCTTTTTTTTTACATATGTAAAATTCATATACATATGCATAATATAAAAAATTCTCATCATTGACATTTTTTTAATAATAAATTGTAAAGTATCCCCAGGTAATATACCTTTTTTTAAAATTCTATGCGAATTATATTAACTTATACATGTATGTATATATACCTTGAAACAATATAAATATATCTTCATATTGTTTCAACAATACAAATATTGAAACAATAGAATCTTCTTTTTCTTTTTTTTGTTTTCTAGAAGTATTTCATATACATTAATTCCGTTGTGTACTCTTTCTTGTAATACAAAAATACAAACAATCCTGTTTAATTATAAATGCATTATTTATCAACTAGCATTAGTCCATTCTCCCGTTTCCTTTAACGCTCTATCCGTCAATCTCTCTATCTCAGTCAAAAGCTGTTCAGTCTCTAAATCAACACATACCATATCTGCTTCCACCGGATCCCATTCTAAACTATTTGGTGTCGACACCCTAGACCAAGGAGATGCTGTCAAGCTAGAGGGTTGGCTATTATTCACCGACGTTTGTGTTATAGAACCGTCAGTACTTTCAACTTTTTCATCGTCCATAATTGGTAGAGGCATTCCTAAACATATCATGATTTTTTTTCCTTTCGTATCTTACAAATATAACTTTGGATGTTTATAACTGAGACCATTCCTTTACCTTCGTGCTCCCACTCTAAATCTAATGATGAGCCAGGAGTAGAAGAAACACATGCCTGTTGTTTCATTAATGTTCTTGCATCAAGAATTTGAAGTGGTGTATCCAAACCAGAACTAACAAATTATTTCATTCTAGTTAATTTTCCTCATAGAATAATTGTTATAATGATTCAGATAGTCATTATACCTAGTAGAAGCATTATTTCTAGAGTTTAATCTGGCATATTTATTAGTACCCTTGGACCATGCGCCATCTTCTAATAATTCTAATGTTACAGGAACCCCATGTTTTTTCTACAAATATTTATTATAAAGGTTAAAAACCTTTTCTTGATAATAAAATCTGACAATTAAGTGAAGTCAGTAAGTAATTAAAATCAATAAACATATTAATAAACAGACTTACTATGTCTAATAAAGTACATAAAAGTTCTGAAAAACTAATCCAATTACCTTGAACCGGTTTAAGGAGAGAAATGATAACAGGCTATCCAGGGAAGCATAACAATGAAGCATGTAATTAATACAACAAAAATGAAATATCGCCCTAAAGTTTAATACGATTCCTTACGTTTTTGATCCTCTAGGTTGGTCTGCATCTCCTTTGTCATCTATAAACTATGAAACAAGCAATCTTAAATATCGATGATATAATAATTGGACATTAAGATCTTTCAATGAAAATACAAAATTATATGTACCTCAACTTGTTCGTCTCCTTGGTAGGACATACTGGTATGTCTTTGATAAAACCTTAAATTTAAATATACACTATATTAAGAAAGAGAGATAATGATGTAATGCCACAATGGAATAAGTGTAGTGAATGAAAATGATTAGACTATCAATATCCATATATCTATGAAAAATCAAAAGTTGTAAAAATATACAGACTTATGTATACTTATGTAACAGAAAAATATACTGAACATCCAAAATGAAAATGTGTTGTAATATTCAATAAGTGAAAGAAATATTTATCTGAGTTTTATTTCTTTAAATACACTCAACAAGTTAGATGAGCATTTATAATCTAGAAATGAACATCAAACAAAGATGCATACATAAGGGATATACGTTTTTATTTTTTCAGATGAAAAATGCATAATTCTAACCTGTACGACAAGGAGTCTGTAACTTTGGAAATGCAGCGGCCGAAACAGGCCCCCATGACCTGTTAACACACGGCGTATCGCCGTCATCTAACTGATATAGGCGTTCAAATACCGATATTTAACGTCCACGTGGTACGTGAAGGATAATGGGAACGAAAGACGATCCTTCATGCGAGGATAAGAAAATATCGAGCGCAGCTCATCTCCTCCGAATATGATGCACCGTAGCTTCGAACATCTGTCAATGTCAATCGCGTGAACGCACTCTTGTCCACTGCAGTTTTATCTGACACGCTTGCGTTGAAAAAACAAGTTCGCCAACATTCGAAATGAAGGAGGATCTCGCATAAAAATTCGCTCGATTATTTTCCAACTATGCAAGAAAAGTCAACTACTATTTTTAAAAATACATACGTTCATCTATTCATAAATAGTATGAATGTTTTCAAGGTTCGGTCTAGTTTGTTTAATTACTTGTGATTATTATACTTAAAGAATTTGTTATTTCATTATATTTACACAATATTACACAATATTACGATTTACTCTCAATTTTTAATTTTTTTTTTGTTTAGTAGATTTATTCGTAATGTAATAAAATTGTTAAACTTCTGTATTATTGTATTTTAATTTTTTTGTATTATTGTCCTGCAAACTCATCGTTGCAAAAAGATAACAGTACGATCAGAGAATAGAAAAAGAGTAGCTGTCGTTACTTTGTAGTTTTTATAGTTCGTGAAAGATGAGAACACGCAAGAATTTAGTACTTGGCAAACGGAGCCTGTGAACAGAGATTATTTAGTATTTTTAATTCTTTTTTTATCATGTAAAATAACCATTCTAGTGACAGTTGGTGTTACTCAATGGAACTTCTCAAGAACTATCGAATTCGAGGAATCATATTTGTGCGTACGATCGGACAAATTGAAATAATATATTTTTTTTATACAAAAAAATGTATATCTTTGGTGTAGCAGTTAATAACTAGATATTTTTAATCTTAAATCCAGGTCGAGGAAAACTCGTCACTGAAATGGTTTTAAAAGTATGAAGGAAACGGAGCAATAACTATTATTTAAAAAAGATAAACGTTCTTCTCATTAAAGAACGATTCATTATGAATTCCTCAACCATGTTCAGTTTGTTACTTATTATATTGCTTAATGTGAAACATGGATTGTTGATATCACAGCACCCAAAGTTGTTAGTAATATCATATGATGCATTCAGGTATGTTATATCGCTTTATTACTCTTTAATTGTTATCTATTTTAATGACCTTTTTAATTGAATTCTTTTTCTTTCATTTTATAGATACGATTACTTTGACAGAAACTTAACGCCATTTATGAACAAATTAAAACATGAAGGCACATATGCGGATTACATGATGAACATTTTTGTCACAAAAACATTTCCCAATCATCATACAATGGCCACAGGATTATATGCAGAAACGCACGGAGTTGTGGACAATGAGTTTTATGACCCTGTTTCAGGAAACACAACAAAATTCTCATATAATCTGTATCATTATAATAATAAAGTTCTTCCTATTTGGGTATGTAGCTCAACATATCAGCATGCATTTCACATAAATACTTATCTAATTATGACATAAATACTTATCTTATCATAAGTTCTTATCAAAGCTACAAAACTACACATTATCTGTATATCTTTGTAGACTGTCAATCAAAAAGCAGGCGCACAAAGGCGCAGTGGTACAATGATGTGGCCTGGTGGCATTTTTGAATACGAAGGAGTCACTCCTGCATTTGCTCAGGTTTATATTTTCTGTTAATTTCAACCAAATTCAAATTGTGTAATTGTAACGAAGGAATTAATTCTTTTTATTCCACAAGAATTTCAATGAATCCATACCATGGGAAGAAAGAATTGATACTTTAATATCATGGTTTATCCATCCTATACATCCAATCAATTTTGGAATATTGTATATTGAAGAGCCAGATTTTCACGGGCATATGATTGGAATAAAAGGATCTGAATTTGACGATATTCTTAGGAAGTTAGATAACATTACTAAATATCTTCACAATAAGATAGAGTACCATGGTTTACATGATCTCAATATTGTTCATTTAAGTGATCATGGAATGGCAACTGTTAAATTAGACAGAATAATAGATTTAACAAAATATATTAACAGTTCTGATTATAAATTTGTGGGTACCTCTCCAGGATTACACATTTTTCCCAATCCTGGTATGTCAGTGACTTATTAAGTTTGTTTTTTTAATATAAAATGAAGTAAAATAAATGAATGGTTTATGTAGGCAAAGAAGAAATAATTTATCAAACATTGAAACAAGCAGCATTGAAAACAAAAACATTCAGAGTTTATAAACGGGAAGAAATTCCTAAAAAATATCACTATGGAAATAATACGCGTATTGGTCCTATTTTTGTTATTGCTGAAATTGGATATGCATTTCAAAATCTTCTCGATAATATAGAATACTATAAGAAGAAGTTTAACATCACAGGTAGAATATATGATTCGTAATTTGAAACTGCAATTGAAGTATATATTTAAAAAATGGAAGAATGTATTAATTTTTCTTGAATATTCATTTTTAGTGAACAGTGATTCAGAATTCGGCCTTCACGGTTACGATAATGAGGCAATAGAGATGCATCCTTTCTTCTTTGCAAATGGCCCTGCATTTATGCCTAAGTGCAAACTCGAACCTTTCAATAATTTAGATCTATTTCCGCTGTTCTGTAAAATACTCGATCTTCATTGTCCGATAGGGAATGGTACCATATCACACCTAACCAAGTGCCTTAAGAAACATCAGCAAGATATCACAGTGATCGCGTATCGAATGATATGTAAGTAAGAATGAATTCATCATCATCCTCAGTTATTAACCATCTTTTGTTTATCTAGTTATAGCCACTACAATATCTATGACATTGGTAGGAATTATAGGAGCATTAGTAATGTTCTATATGAGAAAACGACGTTTAGGAGCAAAGAGTTATAGGTAAGTAGAAATATACATGTTATTTGTGATTTGAAAAGTAAGTTCTGTCACTATTTTGAAATTTTTGATAAGTAATTATAAAAGATATATTGGATTTAGAAATCTTGTTAGAAACTAAAATTGAAGAAGCATCCTTATAATGTATAATTATTATTTTGATTTTTCAGGAGATATTATCCAGTGGATGGATAATATGTAAAGAATATCAAATATGTGAATTTTCACATATTGCGTATAAGTAATGAAATGAATTAAAAAAGAAAAAAAACAGATGATTTAGTAATAAGACATAGCATTATGATGAAAAATAAGTAGACACAATTTCCTTTTTTATAAATAAAGTTATATTGTTTCAAACTTTGAAACATAGCGAAACGTTTAAATAGAATTTTAATCTTTTTAAGCAATTAACTACTTAATTATAAAATTGTGTTATACATACAATTGTATTACATACTATATATCCACACAATTATAGAACTGTATTGTACATATTTTTGAATTCGTGCAATGACGTATGTAATTTTAAACTAATTGTTATTAGGAAATTGTTAAATATGAAAAGTACGTGAAAAGTTTTAATGTAACAATTAACTATTGAAACACATTAAGAAGAATAAATTCTTTAATGAAAAAACAAAAGCTAAATTTCTCATTTATATGTTTAAAAATAAATCATAGAAAAGAGCTGTTTCCTAATGCTTCTATTCCTTATAACGCTAATGTCAAAAATAACCAGATTCGACTTTTTGTTTTTAGAAGAATACTGGAAGATTTGGAAGCACAGTACCATTGGGATGAAAATCACGATATTGAAAGTGATACTTGCAAGTAAATTTTCGAAAAATCTGTTTTCAAATTTTCGCTTTTTATTTCACATTTAAAAAAGAAGAATTGCCTTCTCTTTTTGCAAGACAAAATAAAAATTCTTGCATTAATAAATGATGTTAATACTTATTTCTCTTTTCAGATTAAACAGTTTTCCAGATTTATTCGTAATTTCATGCTACGCGAAGAATAGATATTCGTATGCATATAAAGGAAATGTTAAGTATAGGAAAACTCTTTTCCACTATAGATGACATATGCTTCATCCGTTGCATGGTTAAATACATATAAATGAGAAAATACTTCTGTGATAAAAGAAATTGATACTTTCGAATAACTCTAAATAATGTACATAAATTGCAAACAATCACGAACTTTTTATTCTTTTAAATTTTACAATACTATGTCTAATGTAGTAACTATATATATTTAACATAAAATAAACTGCCACATAATTATTAAATGACTCATCTTTCTACTTGTATCAATACCAAAAGTACAAGTAAGGTTCGAGAAATATTATATTGGTCTATTTAATTATATAATTCATCTATTTATTGTTTTAAAAGTGTAATCAGTATGTACAGTATTATTTTAGAAATTAAAATGTAATAATTTATTCTGTAAGCAGAATATTTTACAAAATTAAATTTATAGATCAAATGTACTTATTACAATAGTGCATCAATTGTATGACAATTCATATGTGAATAAATCAGTTGTAAATAAATGATATTACCACAATTTCGATTTTGTTATTCTTTTGATTTCTAACGAACGAGATAGGTTTAAAAACTTGTCATCGTTAATAATCATTATCTCGAGAACGATATTTTTATCGGTAATATAATTAACCGATAAAATTCATGTTATATGTATATCATTAATAATCATGTATGTATCGTTAATAATCGTTATCTCGTGTATATGACTAAGAACGATATTTTTATGATAATATAATTAGCCGATAAAATTCGAAAATATTATACAAAAGAAAATTAAAATTACCGGGTATACCATTGTACTAATTAATAAAAATTACACTAACAGACGATCAGAACGAAAGAAGATTACAAAGTTAAAAGGGCCGAATATCTTTGTTATTATAATTATTTATTACACGTCCCAATTATTTTCATTTAAATCAGAATTTCATTTTGAACATTAGAAGTGATAACGAGTTAATGTTTGTTTTTAGAAAAGTTTCATAATATTTAATCGTATGTTGTGCGTATGATTATAGGTCATTGGTAAATAAAATTTCTTCGATGAGCAGAGATTGAGGTTGAGGTCGTATTCACGTGGTATTGTATCATTTTAATTCACTTTATGACTAGAATTATTATGAATAAATTACGATTAACTATTTTTACTCAAGCATTAATAATCATGCCCTTGTAGCGACAAAATGTAATTCATTGTAATGCGAAAAATAAAAATTATATGAATTAAATAAATGCACGAGAGAAAATAATCAATCATGAAAATACACTTTATGTATTGTTTATGTACGAAACAAAAAATACTGGAAATCCCGTTGTTTCTGATTCAACTATTTTTTTTCACAATGATGCTATCAAATTAATTCTGTGAATCGAGCGTGATTATTCGTTACATTTCCGACATAATAAACGAGAAATACATAATAATCCTTGCATCAAGATAATTATCTAGATTGTTCGACATATATCATCATATTCGTAATCGAGTTTTATGATTTAAACGTCACACTTAACTACATGTTCTAGGCTACAGGCATTGAAATCACCGCGTATTTAAATCGTGTAAATCAATCTACATTGCACGCAATTATTTCTCTGCTATGTCAGTTACAATAAAAGAAACCCTCAATTCTCGCATTTCGAATTTTCCAAGAAATATTTGGAAACGCAGTAAGCATGAAGAAATAAAAAAAAAAAAAAAAAAAAAAAAACAGAAGACTTCGAAATTTGGCTGATAGTTGAAACTTATGTCAAAAATTTACTTTACGTGAAGATTTATTTCTTTACGGAATCAAAGAACATCCCATAATTTCGAAACGAAACACCCGTTTATAGATTTACAATAATTTCAATGGTTTGTACATTTTTTAGTCTTTCTGAAAACCAGCCATGCAAACACGTATGACATGTTATGCGAAACAGGCATCTTTCTGATTTAAATAAGATGTTTCGATCGAGGAGGTAATCGTCTAAATTCACTGAATATGACAGCGGAGGGAATTCCATGAAAATGCTCAAGGGGAAGAACAGAGCAGCCACGGTAGGGATATGGCGAAGAAAAGGCTGATCTCCGAAAAGTACGAAGTATCAGTCTCTCTTTCGAGAGAGCGTGATACCATGCTACATGCTATTGACATACTACGATAATATAATTGCGCGTGCGTGAAGCATCAGGTGTTGAAGAATTATAAAATTTTTGCAAAAGTGAACATCGTTGACGAACGTCTCTCAGTCAGCCGCTAAGTGTGCGAGAGGACGGTTTCTAACATCTTCTAATCAACATCTGCTGTGATTCGTTTTTAATTTAATTTACAACGTTTGCAACGTTTAATGTGATTTGTTCTTTCATTTAATTTACAAGTTCGTGACATTTGCTACGATTCGTTTCTACTTAATTTACGTCTTTAATTTTAATTACTATATTCTGTACCCAGAAATGTACTTGTTTCTCGTGTAGCACGAGCAAACTTCGTTTGTCATAGAACCAAGTTCTATATGACGTTTTACGTGCAAAAGTTTTTATTTCCGTCTCACGTGTCATTATTGCTATATAAATAAATATTCATGCTAGAATTATCGGTTTTTATTGTGCAATGAAATGTGATATATGCAGATAATTATAATTAAATTATGCAGTAATGATAAAAATGAATTGGCACGAGATAAAGTGTTAGTGGGAATATACAAATGAGTTTTTTTTTTCTTTTTAGTAAGAAAATGTAGGAATTATAGATAGGACATAGAACAAGATTCGCATTTATTTATAGAAATTTGTAATAAATTTCTATAAATCTCTTCCTGAGCACATGTAGAAAATTATAATTATTTCATATTTAGAAATGTCCAGATTCTCTTATTGAATTCTCTAAACATTTAAATCTAAATTCTACTACATTTAATTCTCTATATATCTTTTTCCTCTCCAAGTATAATTACATTACTATAATTACACATTTTTATAATTACATTACTACCTCGATGAAAATCGAAATTATTATGTTTTTTGTATTGTGTATACGTATTTTGTGTTTACATGTCGTGTATACATGTAAGCATTAGTATGTTTATATTATGTTTTTTAGTAGTAATTTGCCAAGATAAAATTATCAAAGCTAATTAAAGCCATTTCGATAAATTCGGTAGTCCTAGCATTAGACTAAACACTTAGAGATATATTTCAATAATGTCTCTTTTTTTTCTCTGAACTGTTTTCTGTGAACACGTGCTTCTTTTCTAATGCAAATTCACTTTACAATGCGAATTAAATTTCTTTTGTCGTTTTATCATTCTTTAATTCGCTGTATCTTTCATTTCATTTTAGAACAATAAGTACATGAATGCGTACAATGCGATCCAAATTTCTTCTTTATTCTTTATTCTTTATTCTTTACTATTATTGTCCTTCTGTTTCATTTCTTCTTTATTTCAGAACAATGGCGAATTCCAAGATCCTGTTTATATATTTGGTGTTAATTGGTCTCCTGCATCCACTAATGCACGTAGTTTCCGCTCAAGGTTCGTACGAGTTGCCTTTTTTCCATGTACTTCAGATTCCAGTACAATCTCGTCACGTAGCCTTCGTACATTTTTGATATTCTAAACGTGCAATAATTATTTCCATTTCCCGTTTTTATTTATCAGCAGTAAAAACCGCGTGACAACATGAAAATAATGTGAACGCGTTTGGTTTTTCATTTCCGTCGCGAATTCCGTCAATTCAACTCAATCATTCATATTTATTTTCTTTTTTTTTTTTTTTT